CAAAGTCTGTTAGTGTAGTAACAAACAAAGACGGGAGTGTTTACAAACATCCCTGAGCCGCATCTCATTACGCTTTCCCGAGCAACAAGTTTACATTAATGGAACTAGGATAGGTAATTTGAATTACTCCTTGAGAGTATTGTAAAAGCGTACAAGTAAATTTTCCATTATTCATCTATACATATAATTAAATTGGAGTGTCTGTTTGTAATATAAGAAGAAAAAAAATCCAGATTTCGGGAAGATGATGTATTTGCGTTACTGATAACAAAAATCGCATTTAATCCTCTGCCTGTCTGTCTGTCCGTAAGCGAGAGAGATTAGACTGTTTTTTTTTTTTGAGAATATCTTGTTTTTTTAATTAAGTGTAGGGTAGATTATTCACTTTTTGTCGTCTCATGTATCTGGTTGTTTCACGATCCATTGTAATTATTTAAAATAAACATTAGCATTTGGTTGCGGTCCCTGCAATACGCCACTTCGTACGTCTGACCTCAGTAACCGCAATTTAAAACGGAATATTTATCGCCGTCGCTTCACCAACATAGGCAGGTGATCAAAAATTTACTTCGTAGCTAACTCGTTTCCGAGTCCATTACTGCTTGTCTTTGTGGCCGAGTATAAATAAATATCTAACTTTTAGATTTTTTTTTGCTTCTGTCATTTTAACTTAATAAACATTGGTGTACCTTTTTGTGTAATACATAAGGTTTTTTTTTTAATTCTCCACGTTTAAGAGCCGTACCTTTGTGTGGGAATGTAACGGTTACTTATTCTGATTTACACAAAAGATGTAATTGTTAAAAGAAATTGGTAATAACTGTTCTCATTGACAAAACTGTTAGTATTATACAGGAATTTCCACCGTCTCCGTATTATGGTTTGAACTAACTTCCGTACCTGTAACTTTTGAAAATTGTCTCACTTTATAATGGTTATCTAACTTTACACCGCTTAATCAATAGTACTTTAAGTCTTAACACAGACACGCTAACTTTTAAACAAAATTTTCCAGTAACGAACCCAAGTTTCATGGTGAACTTGATACGTTTTTTAACATAAGTGTATTTGTTAGTTCTAATTTGTATTAAATTATTTCTAAAAAGAAAAACCTAGCTTTAAATAGAAAAAGTCTACAATATAATATAAAGTTTTTTTTATATAATAAGATGGAAACCGAGCAAGCAGCCATTTGAATCCACCGAAATGGCGAAGCAACCGCTGCCCATAGACATTCGAAATTGTAGATACGTTGTCTACCCTTAATAGACAGAAGACGAGACGCATATACAAGATATTTCCCTTCCTTTGCGTCTCCTCCCCCGTTAACTCCACTTTTCTTTCTCATTCTTTCCTCTTAAGAAAAGGTTGGAAGTTGTGTCATCTCATTTTTTAACGTATATATTCATGTGTTTTAATTTAAAAACTTGATAGAATTCGTAATGTAATGTAATATTCAGCTTAGTTTTTGGATGTTCAAATTGGTTACATAGCAACTTTCTATTGTAATCATGTCAAGCGTCTCAAATCCTGAGTAAAATGCACAGCACGGATAACTGTCGGCCATTATAGACGTGTTTGGTAACATACTAATAATTTGAGCTATAAGGAAATAGAAAGCGTACAAAATTATTCAATGTTTCAACGTAACGAATAATTAAAAACAGTTAAAAATAAACAAATTGTTAGTTCATCCCGTATGATAATTGGGTGAAAGTTTTCCAAATCGTTAACACTTCCAACGGAGTTTACGCTACAACCTGTAAATAGAATGTTGCAAATTTTGTCATTCGTTAGCCGAACATCGGAATAACAAAGGGGTTTTGTGCAACGACCGCGTGTGACGTCGAAAGTATGAAATCCTTTTTTGGAAAAGGTTGTCTAATAAACTTTTATATGAAATACAGGTGAAACAGAAAATATGTGTATCGTATAGTTAGTAAAATTGACTAAAATAGTGTGGATCAAAACTGATGACCAACATAAAGTGGTTAGTAACTAATGAATAGGTCATCATCACCAGCTCACTATACGTCCCCACCGAGGGGCTCGGAGCCTACCCTAATATGGGGTGACTAGGCCATAGTCAACCACACTGGCCTAGTGCGGGTTGGTTGACTTCACACATATCTTTGAATTTCTTCACCGATATGTGCAGGTTGCACCACGATGTTTTCCTCCACCGTAAGAACGTCGGGTTAATTACATATGAAAATTCGAAAAATCTTCACATTGGTACATGGCGGGATTCGAACCCAAGACCTGTAGATTACAAGTCAAGTGTTCAAACCACTGAGCCACCGACGCTTTAATTAATAAGTAACAAAACAAAAAAAAAAGTATAGAAACCTACTTTTAACCTTAAAAATTTAGCATTTTAACGTTAATATATCAAAATACACACAGGATAATTAGAAAATGTGCAACCTGTAAAATCACGCTCACGTAACAGTTATTTGAAACAAATTAATTTTAAACAAAAGTTAATATGGTATAGTCGTACAATAGACTTTTTGATAATAAAACTCGATTCACGTTAGTTTGCAGTAACAGGTAACATTATCCCACATAATACAAAGCGAGCTTACGCCCAAAATTAAATTAGCAGCGTTGGTAATTAAACGCTAAATTTCCGTACACTCGCATAAACGGTAATAACAAAAGTTCTCCTTTGAGTTCAAGAAACAAGCAGAACTTCAGAGAGCTAATCACATATCTCAATCTTAAATTCGGCTTCCTCACGGCTCGCTAGCGCTCTAGTCTGGTTGCTCGCTATACTCCCCGTATTATTACAACTTGCAAGTCGTTTGTAGCCGTGCTAAAGGCCAAAGTTTTTAAATTTTCCACTCACCTCATGTTAAATAAACAAGTGATTCGATATTTTATTTTTATTTTAAAACAAATTTAATATCAAAAGTCAAAATCTATTGCTAACAACAACTTTCAGATTTAAAATTTAAGTTAGATTAGTCTGCGTTTAGATTTTTTCTGTTTTTGAAAAAAAAAAACATATTTCATTATAAGGCTGACGAGGTACATGCTAACTGTAACCACCAGTCAGATATATTATAGCATGTGGTCATATCATTTAAAGAGAATACAGAGGTTATTTGGATGTACTGGTTGAAAAGAAAAAAAAAAGAAAGAATCGACATCTCGGCTGACATAATACAGGGCGGTGTAAAAGCAGACCACGTAAAAAGTAAAAGATATTCAACAAACCATAAACGGGTATCACAAATGTCAACTTGAATTACAAGAATGAGAAAAAAAATCAAAGCATCATGTCAAATATTGTATTAGATTACTACCGGTAACCCGTGGCTTTGTCAACGTTGAAAAAAGTCTATAATATTCCCGTGTACAACCTTCCAGTCAAAGTCCCGTCACAAACGGTCCAGCCGTTCCGGAGATTAGCCGGAACAAAAGAATACGAATACAAACGAAACGAACAGACCGATAGACAGATAGACAATAGCTAATCATGTCCAAGTAATACGTTTTTTTCTCGATATTACATACAGACACTGCAATTTTATTTACTACTAGACGTCGCTCGCGACTTCGTTTGCATGAAATTGTGAAATATTAAGAAATGTAGCCTACGTCACTCACTGATAACGTAGCTTTTATATATGTATTTTTTTTAAACCGGCCCGTTAGTTTTTAAATTATTTCAATACATACAAAACTCCAAATCTTTACTCTTTATAATATAGTATAAATATAATAAAAATGCTTATTTTTAATTTTAAAAGTATAAATAGAAGATAATTTGGTGAAAAATTAACTTTTTTTCAGTAAGGTATATTTTCCTCTTAAATATCAGACCAAATTTGCTCGTAGGTTTTAATTGCTGATTGCTGAAAGGGATAAAATATATCGGAGCAATATTCATTATCCTTTTCATCGGGATACTTGTCAAATTTACCATTCCAATTAAATGGAACATTGCAATGCAGTTTCATTTGGTCGCAAATCTCTACCCAATCTTTGTCTCTATCCAAATCTACCAAATATTAAATTATTGCAATCCAATTTAGTTCACAAAATAATCATTAGAAATTGAAAATTTATAGTAAATATTTAAGCACAAGACTATCTCTTGTCACAAATGTGACCAGAACAAGTCTTAAATCGAATAAAAAGAAATAACGGACACAAAGGTTTTTCAAAAGAAAAAATATAAATAATTAAACAGGCAAAGTCTCAGCGGAATCCAGTGGGTAAGACTTTTTTTTAGGTATACGTATAAATTTAAAGTCTATCAAAATAGTAATTGATATACCATTCTGCAAGCAACGCTTAGTCACCAACGTGTGAATGTTATCACGTTATCATTATAATGTGGAGTCATCATACATATATGGTTCCCTGACTTTGGTTTGTTCGAAAAATCATCCTTCAAGAGAACGAAGTCATGGGCAACAGTTAGCGTTTAAAATATTAGAACGCCAAATAATTTATTAATGCATATAAATTAAGTAGGTGCAATTCAATAAAATAAACAAAGGCAGCGACGCAGTACTCGGAAAGCATTCGTAATAAATTACAATCTGACAAATCGATTAGGAACGCTTACGGTATATTACTAGGCATATACATTACACGTACGTGTTCTTTAAATCACTATTTCTTATCAAAGAAAATTAAGATTAGCCTACGTTTTTTTATTGTGAAGTAAAATAATCACAATTTATGTCAGCAACACAAAATAACGGAAGCGATCAAATTTCATAACTTTTATAAGATAATAACTTCAACTATCGTACAATTTATGATAGAATTAACTAGGTCAAATTAGCCCGTTATGCTGAACGTACAATTTTAACAATAAATTAATTTAATCACATATTTTTCATTATTGCGTCAATATACTCACTTATCGTCCTTCCCGCTAATCATCAACCGGATACGACCTCTGGTCTTATTTTGTAATGACGTCGGTACAAAATATTATTAAAAGTCAAACATTTATTTTAAAGTATAAGTTCACTTACCTCGCGTCAAACTTGTGGCCGTTTTCAAGTGTTCCGGTATAGTGCATGGTCAGCATGTCGCCATGTTTGGACTTGGTCGTGCATTCTTCGGGAAGGCTTGTTACGTCTATCTTAAATTCGGGCTCGGTAGCCGCGAACGTAGCCCCAGCCAGTGCTAACAGCACGAACACGCAGCGCATCTTGAAGTTACGGAAAGTTATCGCTTTGGCTGAAATAGACGTCCGCTCCCCACGACCGGTGCAAAGCAACTGAGCTGGTTTTGCCAACCAACTTGGAATTCGTGAAACTTTGCCGTTAGCTAGTGCGATGTGGCCATCGTGTTTTGACCTCTCACTCTGTCGAGTACGTATACTTCGTGATAGAGTGAATAAGACAGAGTGTTATCACTCAGTGACGCTGAGCCTCTTCGCGTTTGCCACGCAAGCGAGCGATGACGTGATCTCCTCATTCGCAGCAATAGCGACGTGTTCTACTTTTACCAAAAACTTACAAACTTTTCTATTTTAAGCTATTGACATTAAATAATATATTAAAATAAAAAATGATTAGTGGTAATCTCATGAAAAAATTGCTTTGCTCTCATGAAAAGATCGAAAACTAAACTATTCAAAGTTTTATTTAGTTACTATGGATTAATATAACTAAATTGTTTCTAACAGTAACTTAACTTTCTCTAATTGATGATGCGTTAGTTGAAAGTGCAAGAAAGGCACTTGAATTATAAAGCATTTATTCCTAACTACGAGTATCTATGTTTTAATTTTTCTGTCTGTAATCGGAGTGAGTTTTTTTCCACATAATCATCATCTACGTGGTCTGTACCACTCACGTGGGGTCTTAGTTTTTACGGCCGGCTTGTATGTTTCGTACAATTTGTTGAAAATTAAAAATTCATTATTTTGTTGCAAGCTAAAAATATAAACAATCTTTGGTCATTGTAATATAAAAAATTTCGTAATAGTTTCACATTGGACGGAGTAGGGAGATAACATCGGTTGTATTATATTTAACAAAGTCACATTTTTTTAAAGATATTTCTACAATTTAGGATCACAGTCATTTTAAAACTAGTTTTGTCAGTACCATAGATTCATATTAGTGTTTTCTAATATTATACAAATATTATAAAGAAGAAAGATTTGTATTTTTAAATGTATTTAATTTACGCAAAAAATACTGAGCCGATTTTAAAAATTCCTTCACTGTTAGAAAGGTAATTCATCTGTGAGTAACATAGTCTATATTAAATTATTTAAACTTTCGTGAGATATTTTATAATTAATTATTTACGGCTTACTCACGTATACTTTTCTTTTTCCGGTGACGGCACCGACCAGTTTCAGACCCTGCGGGGGTCCTTCTTCAGGGCGAGGGTTAAGGATTTATCGCGGTCGCGTCGCGCCTCGCACTGAAACTGGTCGGTGCCGTCACCGGAAAAAGAAAAGTATACGTGAGTAAGCCGTAAATAATTAATTATAGGCTATATTGTTAAATTTCACGAAGACGAAGTCGCGAGCAATAGCTAGTTTTGTATGAATTCCTTAAAGCAATCTTACTACTTGACAACTTGCTCAATATCGGTCTTCTATTTCTATTCCATAACTTAACAATCATTTGTAGTTGACACCAAGCTTAAAAAATGTCCAGCATTTTTTTTCTTGTTGTTCAAACTATCGTGAAACAATATCATAAACGAATTAAAAACGGCTCACATATGATCACCATATATGTCTTTTAATTTGTTTTTTCCTAACTTGTCATAAAAAATCATCATAAAGATTCGTCAGTACTGCTAGATGTAAGCCTTTCCCAATGTTCCATTGGGATTTTCCATTATCCGTGTACAACAAACACAAATGTTTTAATTAACTAGTCTGTTCTGATTCTTTTATATTCTATTTGTAGATAAGTTAAACAGCAGTCGATCCTCTTAAGGAAACAAATACAAAAAACACTGAGTAAGTCAACATCGTACAGTGTTTCTAACTCTTTTTTTGAAACTAGCTGTTCCCGTGCGGCTTCATCCGCATGAAATTATAAAAATATTCTATTGTTTACATCGAATTCTTAATTGTTTCCTTAAGATTCCAATGCACAAATTACAGCTATGGCAACCTAGCTTCCTTAATGTTGACAGCTTGTAGTTTATTTACACAATTTATTTACCCCCTAAGTTTAATAGCGTGAAACTATATAGCCTAAAGCGTGTCGTGTAAGCCTAAAGTGTAAGGCTTTTTATTAAATAAAGAATTATTTAAAAACATGCTGTGACTGCTGACATCCTACGCTACAAAGTAATGTGTGTTTCCGCTTTTTTATATTAGTATAGATAGAATTTTTATTCTGCATCTGTTAATTATATTTGCCTTAAGCATCGGATTAACAACAGCTTTAATATTTTACCGTACTGTAAATTTGTTTCGCGGGTTCGCGAGTATGCATTACAGACAAAAAGTTTAAAAATCCATATAGGTTTTATTATGAGGTGTATTTCAATTCGATGTCTTACCAAGGGTTTTTATTACTTGTTGATGGTTTTTTTGTAGAAATATTAACATTGTTAAATACTGCATACATTGTTACATATGTAAACTGTTGGAAAATTGTATAATAACGATAGTTAATGGTAAAAATAAAAAATAAATTTGTGAAGTTTTTGTATGTGTTATTCTTTTCTTTTCAAACTTCAGATCGACTTCTTATCAGTGTTAAAAATTTTATTGAAAAGAATTTTGTGCTTTAAGAAATTTCATTCCGTCGACTATATCGCAATGCAATATTAATAAAAATTTATTAAAATGTTTGTATACATTTTAGATCCGAGAGATTATACGCTTTTAAAAAAATTTATATCGAAGTTGAATAGACTATGCTAAGCATTTTCTTAGCGAAGCTTATTAAAATGAGAGTTTTTTCAAAGCCTGTTTTAGCTTAGTAAAGAACACTTTATTAACATTTTTGATGAAAAAGATTGTATTGCGAACAGCGAGAGTAATTTTATAGGATAGTAATTCGCTGCAATTGAATTTGAGATAATATTATGTCTTCATACCTAAAAATCACACTTCGTACTAATTATACTAATATTACAAATGCGAAAGTTTAGATGGATGGATGTTTGTTAGAGTTTGTAGCCTAAACAGCTGAACGGGTTTCGATGAAATTTGGTATAGATGTAGAGGACAGTCTTGAAGAACACATAGGCTACTTACTTTTGATTTTTTTTAATTCCACGCGGACGGAGTCTAAGCTAGTAAGTAATAATTTTCAAAAATTTTAGTTGGTAATGTTGTAATACTGTGGTCAACTTAAAACATAACTTAAAAAGTATATCATACTTTTACACGCGAACGCACATTTAAGTAAAACTAACTTCATATTTAACTATCCGCGTCACAGAAAATGTTTTAATTAGTTCAGTTTTTGCTTTGAAACTTTTTTTTTAATTGAGATGTGCACACTTCTGGTACAAACTTGTGCGAAGTGAACCTTTTAAATAACTTAGCATGATTTAATATTTAAAGATATTATTGCTTAATATTAAAAAAAAAATCTTTGACCATTCTATTATCTATTTTAATTAAATTATTAGTATACTGAATATACATTTGAATGACATGTTTGTTTACGGAAGAAGTAAACCAAGTAATAATTTATGAACTTTCATTTTACGAATAAAATTTAATAATCATTCCGATAAATGTGGTATCGTTAATTAAATTCTGTTTGATTGCAAGCGCTTAATCGTTTCACGGGCCAAGAGCTTCGTGCTTTTGATGAATTTGATCCACCCTCTAAGTCGAGCTTTATGTTGGAAACTTAACCGTATGTGTTCGCAGCGGAGGTCTATTCACAGTACAGAATCTATTCAATTACCATTTTGATGAATCCGTTAATATGCTGCATTGATGCAAATTACTCGTATCTTTGTTTCGAAGCCTTTATGCGTAATGTAATTCATTTATGTCCATCTACTAGTATAGAGTATAGAGTGAATATATAGAATATATAGTATAGAGTGTCTGTTTGTAATAATAAAATAAAAATTCCAGATTTCAGGAGCAGGATGTATTTGCGTTGCTGATAACGAATCACGCATTTAAACATTTTTGTCTGTCTGTCTGTCTGTCCGCAAGCCGCGTTTATTCCGGGTAATATCCGAAACGGCTAGGCTAAAATCAACGGGACTTTCGCTAAAGAGTAGCTGACATAGACGGCCATATTATAGGTTACTTTTTTAATTTCGCGCTGTTCGGTGGTCCAAGTTTGCGCTAGCAAATGGGCGAAAGCTATTTTAAGTATAAATGAACACGGCATTTTTTATGTTGTCCTCATGCTTTTTGGATACATTCGGAAAAAACCTAGACATGTTTATCGATATTATTGGTTTGCCTCAGCTTGTCTTAGTGGCATAGAATCCGTCCCATATATTTTCTATCATACTCATCCCGTTGATGTAGAATATAGCCTACTAGCCTAGTGGAATTAATAAAAAACAAAAGTAAGTAGCTTATGTGTTCTCCCAGATTGTGCTCTACATCTATGCCATACTTCATCGAGATCCGTTCAGCTGTTTAAGCTACAAACTCTAACAAACATCTATTCATTTAAACTTTTGCATTTATAATATTAACTAGTATGATATTACAGAATGATAATGTATAATAGAGAAAGATTTTGTACAATCAGTTCAATACTTTCGGAACCTATTTAATGAAAAGCAAAAAAATCTTTACTGTTAAGTACAAAATTAATAGTAAATAATTTTTCTTTTATGATTCATTAATCAATTCCTTGAAGCAAAATATTAACTAACTAGCTGTAACCGTGCGGCTTCATCCGCATGAAATTATAAAAAAAAATATTTTATTGTTTACATTTATCAAATTCTCTATTCCATTGACCTTACTATGGCAATCTTGCTTCTTGATGTTGGCACCTCGTTTCATATGGTCTCTTTCCCACATTAGGGTTTTTATCCAAGGTATTTACCCCTAAGTTTAATGGCGTGAAAATGTATATCCTAAAGCGTGGCGTAAGTGTAGGGCTTTTTATTAAAAAAAGAATTATTTATAAATATGCTGTAATTGCTGACATCTTAGGCAATAAAGAAGTGTGTGTTTACGCTTTATTATAATAGTATAGATGAAGTTTCTTGATTAATTTCCACAAAATTGATATCGGGTATTTATTTTATGTACGAGAATAAAGCCCTTTGTGTCTGCAGGAATTCTGGCAGAGATTAAATATGACCAGCTTA